ATACTTTTTACACTGGCCGGGCAGGTATTTCTAGGGCAGTTGTTGATGAGTACCGGAACAAACTTGTGTCTGAAGTCGAAACTCTACTACGTGGAGTCTCAGACTGGGGCAGACAAAACCTAGTCCAATTTAACCCCAAGAAGACACAAGTTTGCGCGTTTTCCGCTAAAAAATCACCCTTTGTCGCTACTCCTCTTTTCGAAAACACTCTTCTTAAAGCCACAGCCAGCATTGGAATACTTGGCGTTGACATATCGAACGACGTTCAGTTTCGCGGTCACTTGGAGGGAAAGGCTAAATTAGCCTCCAAAAAGCTTGGTGTGCTCAGCAAGGCGAGGCGGTACTTCACTCCGGGCCACCGCATGCAACTATATAAAGCGCAAATTCGGCCCCACATGGAGTACTGCTCTCACCTCTGGGCGGGGGCTCCCCAGTACCAGCTCCTTCCACTTGACCGTATACAACGCAGAGCGGTTCGAATCGTCGACGACCAATCCCTCTCCGAGCGGCTTGATCCTTTGGCGTTGCGTAGAGATGTGGGGTCACTCTGCATCTTCTACCGCATTTACCATGGAGAGTGTTCAGAGGAGTTGTTCGGATTAATACCTGCAGCTGAGTTTCATCATCGGACGTCGAGACAGAATACGAAATTCCACCCGTATCACCTCGACGTCCGCCGTTCCACAACTGAGCGTTTTTCAAGGCAGTTTTTGCCGCGCACCACTACTATGTGGAATCAGCTGCCCACTGAAGTATTTCCGAACCAATTCGACTTAGGGTCCTTCAAGAAAAGAGCGTACTAATTCTTAAAAGGCCGGCAACGCACTCGCGAGCCCTCTGGCATTGAGAGTGTCCATGGGCGGCGGTGTCACTTAACATCAGGTGAGCCTCCTGCCCGTTTGCCCCCCGTTCTATAAAAAAAAAAAAAAAAAACTTTTACTATTTACATAGGGAACATTTCTATGTACATAGGGAATCATCACGATTGTGGAGGAAGCCTGAGTGTGCAAAATGTACAGCCTTGGCTCGTACATGCATTTTAACACATTTAATTATAATGAGCGGTGGAGAGTTTATTGCCAGTTCTTCTCTTCCGTTCTACGCCCTTGATTTGAGAACTGGCAGTTAATGTAAAATTAGATGCATTTAATGTATATTTCTTTTGTGACGTTCATTGTGTTACCTATATGAATAAACGATTTTTGACTTTTTAAATTTATTGTTTGACTTCATTCCGAGTGCGTGATGTAGTTTCAAACCAAGGTAATAAATCAAAAAATTATTAAGCTCTGGCCTTAAAATATAGTATAAACTATAAATTATCGTTGTACATTACAGGAAAATCCGAGTACTTTTCTGTGATGGACGGTGTACTCTACAATTTTCGAACAAAGTTATTTTAAGAGCTTTTTAAATCACACATTTTTAAATGGAAACTAAAAATACTTTTAAAATATTCTTACCACTTTCATGGCAGCCTTCCAGGGCTTATAGACTGCATCTACAGGGTTCGTTCCGTGGCGAAACAATTGTTTGCGTTTGTAAGCGTATTTACCAATTATGTCGTAAGTGTTGATAGTATGAAATAAATCAGTGGCGCTACAACCTTTTCAAGACTGGACCTCCGATTTCTGTATCTGTTTCATGATCATTTGTCAAATTTATTGGCAAGTAGGTCATCAGCTTCCTGGCCTGACACACGCCGTCGAACTTTTGTGTCTAAGGAAAGTTTTCCTTTACCGTTGCAGCAAATATTAAATGCGCACGTAGAAAGAAATTCCAGCAGCTGGGGCTCGAACCTACGACCTCAGGGATAAGAGACGCACACTGAAGTCACGAGACCAACACTGCTCGTTTATTATTCAAATATTATAATCCAATTAATTCCTTTCTAATGGAACATAGACGATAGGGATGAGACAATTACGTAATGTTTGCACAGTAAAGTGACCACATGACGTTAGTACCTCATGTTTGCTTTTCACAAATAGGTTTGTTGTTCTTAGAGCCCTTCATCCTTTCATTACGAAGGTGCTGCTTTTGTCACGAAAATAAACGTTTTAAACTTGACATAATGAATGAGCTAATGTGGAGATGAAAGGGGTTTTTCAGAGGTTATCCGATGTTTCCAAGCTGGAGACTACAAATACATTATGTATGTATGAAAATAAAATCTTTGACCGATAATAACGCGAATAAATTAGGTTATTTAAAAAGTTTTATTTAAATTACTTCGTAAACTAAATACTTAATATTTAAAATTTTATATATTTCGTGCTATAGCTACAAAAAATACATAACTTAACGTTTTAGAGTGATACTTTATTCCAGAATAATTAAGTAATACATAAAAACACATAAATTAATAATAAACCTAAAAGTGTATTTGAATTGAGCTTGTAAGGAATTAATCAAATTTTTACAGTTAAGTTCACAAAAAGACTGCGACTTTACATGAATTACAATCTAGCCTATACAATAATTATGGCTAATAAGTAATATTATTTTGACTTTTATTTGTACAATAATAGTGAATAGCTTATACTAAGGTAATGTTCATTAACAGTCTTAATGTTCTATAATGTTCTGAAACTATGTTCGTGTGTCCGAGACCTTGTAAGAAGTATATATATTAATATATACAATATATTAATTGAATAGATTATATAAGAATATCTGAGCCATCCATCCGTATTACCTCGACGTCCGTCGTTCCACAACTGAGCACCACAACTATGTGGAGCTGCCCACTGAAGTATTTCCGAACCAATCCGAAATAGGTCCCTTGAAGAAAACAGCTTACCAATGCCTAAAAGACCGGCAACGCACTTGCGAGCCCTTTAGCAATGTGTCCATGGGCCCGCAAGACACTTTCTTTTGACAAACTAGCGAACTGTAAAATCGACTCCCGGTGGGGGTTTTCCCTGGGAGATACGACAATTCAAAGGCCGGCAACTTACCTATTAAAATGGGTCCATGACTGTGCTTTTTGAGCGTCCCGTAGGCCGTTTGCTCTCCTATACTATAAAAACGTCATTTTTCCAGTTGCCGTTTCTTAAACAATTGTAATTAAAGTTTTACGTTACACAAAATAATTCTTCACGGTAAAAGAACTTTGTAGTTGAGATGAAATCATTATGGCACTTTTAGTTGAAGTGAGTTAGATTACTGTTGTTTGTACACATCGTTACAAGGGTCGTACTCAATCCCAACTTTATCTTGAGTGGTCTTCATAAAAGGATCCTTACCACATTTTCTGTATTATATAAAAATGCACGGATCTTAAGTGGGATCAGTGTTCAGCAGTAGTTAAAAGTTGAAGCTCTTAAAGTTTTTTATATCATAAAATAAATCTGGCAATCCATTAAATTTTGGGAATCACGTGAAACTGAACTTTATATTTCTAAATTCAGCGTTTTCATCCGATATGGTGTATTTTCTATAAAATATTCTTGATAATTAACATTTAATACGTATTTAGTATATGGTTTAATAGCGAAATAAACTAATGATTTATTGCTAGCTGAATATTTCTGAAATGTAATTGTTATTCATAGTTAAAAGTATTTTCATCTGATAAAGTGTATTTTCTATAAGTTAATTAATATCTACTTCCTATTGTTCACGTATTATACTCATGTAAATAGTCAATAATAAAGTTAATCATTTAATTTAATAGCGAGATAAACTAATGATTTATTGTCATTAAAACCACTGTTTTACCTTGAGCTTCTACATATGTTCATATCTGTGGAGGCGGTCTATAATCATAGGATTAAAGACACGAATTATTACGTCTTACTTACTTACTTACGAGTACCTTATTTATTCGTGGATTAATTATAATTCGTCTGGTGGGCCGGATTATTTTTATCGACATATATTCTTATTTCAAGTAATCACCAGAATAGGGTTTATTATTTACTATATACATCCCAAAGCGTAAGGCATTATTACAATGTCTTTGTCTATATTCATAAACAACAACTCACGTGGGAGTTAAAGACTTGTTTAATACATCAAATAGTACTAATCTCTCGGGGTAACAGGTAATGTGACATGTTGGGGATTTCAAAGGAAATGTCAAGCCCAGGCATTTGACACTTGTCATATATCATTATGAAACTGTGGTGAACTGTCGGTGTGGTCACGTCACTGGCGTCATTTATCTTGTTAAATTTATTGAAAACAAAAGTGTGTTGTTTATTGGTTTTTGGGTTGGAATTTAGATTCTTTGACTCGTGTTATTGAATATTGTATTTCGAACAAAAGTTGTAATAATCCAATATTGGTAAGAGAGACCTTATATTAAATTATTATTAAGAAATTGGTACTTTTTATCGGATTTGCCATTTGCATATTACTTACCTAAACATTTATTGAAGTGAAACTTCTTTAGGCGCATGAGGGTAATTTTTTTACTGATACGTCACATGATGTGCAGCGTTTTTGTCGAAGAAAAGGGAGAGAGCGATTGAGAGAGAGGGAGAAGGGCGAATTACGTTGTAGAAATTCTATTTTTTTAATTAAAATTTCGTAATTTAAAGAGAACTTATGAAATACTAATATTTTATATTTTATGCAAAATAATTTATTGAAATCTCAAATGACGAATTGTAAATTATTATCAATGAAATGAATTTAAAAAATTAAATTTATAATTTGTATTAATTTTCGACACTTAATATTTTAATGACAATTAAATTCCTAAAATATCTTCCTTTTTCCCTCGAAGTCTCGGAAATTTTTAGATTTGTATAAATATGAACAAGACTTAAAAATTAGTTTGCCAAAGAAGTTTCACTTCTGACATGTATACCTTGTACGCACGCACTTTTTTTTAAATATTACCTATAGTTTAGTTACTAATGCATTTTTAAGACAAAATATATTAAGATTTTTTGTGCGTGATAAAAGTGTATGTGTACTTAAAACATTTAATATAAGAACTGTATTAACTACCCGCAATAACATGTCTTTGTATTTATACTATAAGGAAAATGTGCCTAACAATGTCTATTCCGCAGGGCCTCGAATTAAAGGGACAGATGGTTTTTTGCCCCGAGTCGGATTCCTTACTTTTCGTCGGATCACCCTTTCTCGATGGACTCGAAGGTCTCACTGGCAGGGGTTTATTTATATCCGACATTCCATTACATGACGCCACAAGGGACGTGATCTTAGTCAGCGAACAGACTAGGGCGCAGGTTGGTGACAGTTTCAATTTATTATCTGTGTTCATCGGAATTTCTAGTAGTCTGTGATGGTTTAAAATAAAGATGTAATTACGCGGTTCATAGACGTTCAATAAGAGTGAGATAGATTTATATTTATGTATATTAAAAAGGGGTGAAGTTTGTCGGTAAGTTTTAGAAGTAATAAATGGAGTTATAAACATTGTTAACTGTATAAAGCTTATTAATTCATAGTTTTCACTGTAAAATATATTTAATAATTTGGGCACTTCACTATTGTGTCAGTTGACAATAGTGCGTGCACGTTAAAGTATGCTTTAACGTGCACGCACGTTTCAACGCACCACAGCGTTCTACGTTCAATATAGGATATATTACGCTACAATTAAAAACACGTGGCGCTACAAGCTTTGGCACTGGCCTCAAATTTTTCTAAAATACTGTACCTTTTTGGATCTAAGGCGTCCGTTTTCAACGCTGTGTCGCCCACTCAAGTCATTGGTATACTACTCTTACTTATTTAGCATCTCTGAGATTGCCATAAAACAATTAATGAAATTATCCCTCCATGGGGATTATAAAAGCACGTTGTCTTGACACAATGTCATAATTGTGTTTAAATTAATTCCGTTCAAGTCGGTTTTCTGGGAAACGATAAAACATTTATTTTCTCAAGGGAAGACATTTTTAATTAGCGATTTTCTTATTATCCACTCTCGTTAATTATTTGGAAACTTGATGGCACTATATCTCAATTTTGTTCTTTCAAATAAAATGTTTTAACCTTAATACGAAATTAACTTTTATAATTAGCTTTAATCTTACTAGAGTTTTATTCTTGAAGGTTATATCTGCGAGTTGATTAGACCTAATAAGGAACACTAATCATATTAAAATCCTGGTTTCAACTAAGGAGTTCCTTATAAGTTAATCCGGAGTTTATCATAATAATAAAATAAGTTTAAGTATAAATTACTTCCGACGTTATTTTTGACTTCCATTTTTAAAAATCTTTTTTCGACAGGACGGACTTCGTAAAAGAATGGATAAATTGAAGAACTCAATAGTAGAACTAAGCAAATCCGTTGCGAAGGAGAGAGAAAAGAACGTCAGTCTTCTACATCTTATATTTCCACCACACATCGCCAAGAGACTTTGGCTTGGTAAGTGTAGTTTTCTGTCTCTTTTCATCACTGCCTATACACAATTTGACAGGTCAGGTAGAGAGTGATTTAAATTTTTATGAATAAGGGGGAAAGTCTATATTGTATTGTTTATTTATATTGATAGGGTATAATAGGATATAGAATGTCTTTAAGTAGATATATATAATGTTTAAAGAACTTTATTTCTCATTACAAAAAAAATATTTTCTCATGTAGAAGGTTTTTAGTCTATTAGGCTCATTCTAATATGTATATTAATGCCCTTTTGAATTGATAAACCACGCTAATATTACGAATTTTAGAGGGTAATTGATTAAATAATTGCACACCCTCATACTCAATAGACTTTTTAAATAATTTGTGCGCGGCTTCGGCAAGATAAGCAAACTCGCTCGACGAGTATTGCGAGTAGTGGTGTATTTGATGTTTTTTAAATGATAATCTACTATGGAGAGAGTTATATATACTAGGTTGTACCTACGTGGATTTCTTGTTTATTTATAAGTCCTAAAACAACGTGTATGCTTAAAATATACAAGAAAATATGACATCACAAATTTCACACACATACATCAATTATATTAGAACATAAAAATTTCAAACTAGCAAGAAAAAAATTAAACAAGCTACCACAAAAAAAAACTAAAATAAATAGAAACTTAAACCTCATTAAGAGTATTCCAGTAAGATTTTTTGCTTTTCTATATATTCCTGTGTCGAAAGTCAAACTAAATTTAATCTGGTCGATCTTTAAAGAATAAGCGTTCAAATATAGAACTACTTAATGTTTTTTGGTAATAAACATTTTACTAATATAATATAGCAGTAATAAGCAGGATGGATAAGCCCGACCTATTAACCATTTAACCACATGTTTTTCATATCGGTAAAGCCTTATATTACCAATTACACCCACACGTTTTATTAATAACCGCAATAATTCATATTTGCCAAAGTAATTAATTTGTTAGTTAACACCTGCGCTCGACAATTAACTGTCAAAGATGATTCGTTACTGTGTACGTGTGTACAGTAGGAATCAGTGCGTTTTACTGGGGAGTAAAGAGAAACAAATCTCTTTTCAAGCTTCCATTAAATCTTTACTGTATAAATATTACCTGTCCACATCGTATCTCTAACTTTCTTACTGATGTGAAACTGATCTAACATTATCGTGATTCATATTATGCACTTTTTTCATGTGTCTTTTTTTGTATTTTTTAAATGATCATTGTTTACATACGTTTTAATTGCTTTGTTTTGTTCCATTAGTTTTGTCTAAATAACTATATGTCAGAAGAGATCGCTCGAAAGCGATAAAGCCGCCAGTTGCCCTCCTTTTCATTTAATTATGTCATTTGTATTATATTTCTGCTACGAAGTGTTAATGCTAGATGAAACTAGCGACCGTCCTTTATACCGAAGGGGTAGGCAGTGATCACCGATCATCACTTGCTACGGTCCTGACTCCTCTCGCTTCATCCACTTTCAAGACATTCACCGTGCATGCTCTTACTTTTGTCTTCAAATTTTTAACTTGTCCCGTCTCTAGTACTAGGGGGCATTTGATTCAAGAATGTACCACAAGGCCTACCCATTACCCGACCTGATGGATCCGTTCTACATGGCCAAACCACCTAAGCATTTCCTTTCGTATACTTGTCATTTATTTTTATTTAAACCTACACTGCTGACGCATTTCACTATTACTTATCCAATCACGGAATGTTACAATGTTAATGTTTTTAGATCATATAAGAATTATACTATCTACTTTATCGATTCTTAAATGTTTTCATAGACATTACTCATAATTAAATTAAAATAAATATATTTCAAAATAATATCTTCTGTGTATTTTTAGGTGAGGCGATAGAGGCAAAAAGTCATGATGATGTCACAATGCTGTTCAGTGACATTGTCGGCTTCACCTCAATATGCGCTACAGCCACGCCCATGATGGTAATAGATATGCTCGAGGACTTATACAGCGTGTTTGATATATTCTGCGAAGTTCTGGATGTTTATAAGGTAAGAAATATCTACTTATAGAAAATAAGTGATTAAATTGTAAGTCTCAATTATATATATTATCTAATTTATATAATTAATTATGAGGCAAATACAAGTTTAAGGGGAAACTACGTCAACTGCCAAAACTTTGACAGATATCTTATCTATGAAACGTGCTCCTACTTGGATTTGACAGATGCATAGACACTAGATACACACGCTTGTATACTAAGACAAATTAATTAGTTTTATGCTATATATTCAAAAGCAATCAATGAATTGATTAAATACAATTATAATAATCCATATACAATTCAAAAGTCGAATTCTATAAATGATTTTTATGTCATATGTCATCCATTATACCTTTTTTAAATTTGACATTGACAACTTAATTATGACGTCAAGAAATATAGACTATATTACACTATAACGCATGATAGATAATGAATCTTGTTAACGTAAGAATGGCGTACGTGACAGGATGCAAAAGCCTGGTATAGCTTTCGTAGATTGTTTTATGTGAAGTAGAAAATCGAGTTTCACCGGCACATATTTAAATTGACTACAGATTTTAATTTATTTAACAATTTTCTTAAATTTTCGTGAAAATGTTAGGTTAACAAATGAATTAGAGTTAGGCTAGATAATCATGTTCTAACTGAAACGAAAGAGTGTCTTTTGGTTTTGAGATGGTTCTTTAACCATATTTTGTTATTAATGCTATTAAGTTTCTAAATAAATAATTAATATGTTTTTTGTATGACTTTTGATTAAGGTTCTATAATTGTTTTATATATATAACATTTGGTTATGCTCTTCTTGCACTTTACTAATATTTCTTTTTAAGTTCTTCCCTTACTAGGGTTGCCTGGAAGAGATCGCTTGTCAGCGATAAGGCCGCCCGAATCCCTTATAATTTTGATGTATTGTGTTATTTGTGTGTTTTTTTTGTGCAACGTAGTGTGAATAAATAAATAAATAAATTAATCAATATATAATATCTCTAAAATACATTGCCATCCACATATTTTTAGGTGGTAATTAAACCACGATACAAGATTCTGTCCAAGTTAGGTTCAACTAATGGAAGTTTAAACTGAAGTCAGAGTTAATTATGTGTTTTAACCCAGCTCTATCGCTTGTTAAACATGGTTTCATGGTTAGATTATTGCGAAGATCCTCTCAGAGGGTTGCAAATTTGATTTATATATTAAATTGACTGACCCATACGATACAGCACACTTATGTACTTTTAATGAATAATGATAATATCAAAATATAGAACAGCAATTGTTAAAGCAATTAGAATAAAACAAAAAAACATGTACGCGTTTCTTGCGCACCCTGAATATTATTGCATGTGTGACGGATATATTTGCACACTGGCTGAATTCACAAGAATTGCATTATTTATAATAATTAGTTATAAAAAGGTTTTCGTTTTTTTATTATGTTTTACGTTAATTTTTTATTAATAAGTTTTCTGTTGTATTAGTATTAAGTTACTGTAATAATAGGAAATAAATAAATACAAGCAAAAAAGCACAATAGAACATGGTTAATGATTAAGAAATGCCAAAAAAATTAATTATATTATATATTAAATAAAAGATTTCACTGTATTTGTCTTGTAAAGGTCATCTTTCGTTATAGTCCAACATTGCCGAGAAAAAACTGTCAATCATACCTGTATTTAGGGTTAGCATGCTGATAAACGAGCTAGGTCTGGATCTATAGTTGCTCCCCTCACACTTTGAAGTCAACTTTCCTTAAGATTATACAATTTTTATTTTTTCTTTTAATGTGTGTTTATCTTTTTTGACCCAATGTATAAGTAAACTGAGCGTTGGCAAGCTTTTTTATATAAATATAAATTTATTTGTTATACATAATAGGTGGAGACTATTGGCGATGCATATTGTGTTGCTAGCGGTTTACATCGGAAAATAGACACTCATGCGCCGCAAATTGCTTGGATGGCGTTACGTATGGTGGAAACTTGCGCACAGCACTTTACACACGAGGGAAATCCTATTAAGGTAATTATTTTTTAATGGCGTGTTGACACGCCTGTCAAAAACGAGACTTAGCAACTCTTCTAACTGGAGCTAAGCGCTAAATTTCGTCTTTAAATATTACTCTTACAACAACGCACTTGTCGTACTTGATAAAAAGGACTATAATAAAATGTATAAAATACATAGAATTTTTTTCCATTGTAGTATATCTACACAAATATAGATAGATATATGTGTGTATACATGGTTTATTTATAATTTATGTGATCTATGAATTCCTTTTTTAATGATATCTCAATGATTAACGTACGTAATTTTAACTGAACGTATAAATTCTATATTTAATTGACTTCTTTGCATTTATTAAAAATTCTCCAGCCAAGATTTAAAAGCGCTAAGACGATCAATGATAAATATTTAAGAATCGTTAATATTAACTAAATAAAAAAAATCAAGATAATATAATTTTATGTCATAATTCAATATTTCAATTAATTATGTAATTCTGTAATGGTTTTAACTCTTTTAGATGCGCATAGGCCTCCACACAGGCACAGTACTCGCTGGTGTAGTGGGTAAAACCATGCTGAAGTACTGTCTCTTCGGGCACAACGTCACGTTAGCAAACAAATTCGAGTCTGGCTCCGAACCGTTGATGATAAATGTCAGCCCTACTACTTACGAGTAAGCTCTATTTTAATTATGTACAGTATGTAAGTTTACCGCGCAAAAGCCCTCTATAAAATTCCCTATAGTTGTAAATTAAAATTATAATAAAATGTGTTTATTCTTTATGAACAATTCATTATAATTTGTAGATTTGGGAACCCTTTTCAGTAATAAATACCTGTGTCAGGGTTTCCGGCTCTTCCATAAACAAACTTAAACAGTAAATTCCATAAAAATTATATCTATTTTTTTGTCAACTGTTTTCAACACGTCTGAGTACATGAGTTGAGTGTGTGGGTGCATGCGAGTGTGTGAGTGAGTGAGTGAATGAAATGTGTAACTAAAATTATATTTCAATACTTTTTATTATTAACATAAGCTACACATATTGTTTAGCTAGTTCGGGAAACAGTTTTCAAATAGGGTGTTTACCGGCGATACTCAAACCGGCTGTTTCATTAAGTGATATGAAATAATTAAGTTCGTACATCTACATAAATTGCATATAAACACCAAACTGCATAAATAAGACTTTAAAACATATTTACAAGTAATTGTTCATAGATATGAGTGTTTTAAGGTCGCCCAATAATGCGATTAGAGGAAGTTCTCAGCCGGATCTATCAAAGATTTCCACCGAAGCAAGTGACGCCCAGATTACCTTTCGCAAAAGGAAACAACCATCCGATCGTGACTGTGACTGCAAAACAGAAGTGCAGGAAATGCGAAAAGAGATATCACGAATTACTGACCTGTTGGAAAGATTTGTTGGATCCAACGAACAAAATATGACAGCTATGCGTGAAAGTATTACAGAATTGAAAAATGAAATTGCATCTATAAAATCGACTACCAGTGGTGCAGCTACCGAACAAATTGCAATAAAATCTCGGATCTCAGAACTTGAAAATAAAATTTCTTTTGGCGAACAAAAAATTAAGTCCTTAGAATCCGAGATCATAACGTTAAAAACACCTGCAAATTCATCCGTATGTACACAATCGATGATATTAGAACAAGAAAATATTTTAAAGGAATTATTTGAACGCAACAACCGAGAGAAAAATATTATTCTGGTAGGACTGCCTGAACGACCATTACCAAGTACTGATACTCAGCGTCACCCGGATGAATCTGAAGTTCGGAAAATAATATCTACTATATCTAAGGACCTCTGCAAGCCAGCCAAAATTTTTCGTATCGGAAAACAAGATTCTAATAGAAACCGTGCTCTAAAAATTTGCTTCAATGATTGTGATACACCTAAAGCACTATTACGCAATAAAAGTAAGTTACCTACCGGAATTAAAATTTACTCAGATCAAACTCCATCTCAGCAGAAATATTTAAATTGCATAAAGGATGAACTGGCTCGTCGTCAAACAAGTGGGGAGACTGACTTAACTATAAAATACATAAGAGGCATACCAACGATTATAAAAATAAATCAAAAATCAAAAAACTCCAAACATTAAGCTTTGACAAAAAAAACTTGTAACACACGACCTACTATATAACTATCAAGATCTACAAATTGCAACCTCACGTATGAATTTTTTCTATGCAAATGTTCGCAGTATATGTCGTGCAGGTAAATTTGATGAATTGAAATGCCTACTGAAGTGTATTAAATCCAAGACACATATTATATTGTTAACCGAGACCTGGATTAAAAGTGAAGAGCATGCTCGTTCATTTCATCTTAATAGTTATACACACTATTACAACCTCAGAACTGATAAAACAGGTGGAGGTGTTTCCATTTTTATACACAATGATTTAAAACATATCTTAAGTGAATCTACATTCATAGATGGGAATAATTACTTATGGGTAACACTTGTGAACTATTCTCTTGAAATTGGACTTATATATAACCCTGGTAATACTAATTATAAAAAATTTATAGATACATATGAAGCACAGTTACAGAAACGAAACCGTATCATCGTTTTTGGTGATTTTAATATAGACTTACTTACTAGAAACAGAAATACCACTTTATACAAGAATCTGCTTCAGGGACAAGGTCACAAGCTATTGAATAAAATTGACCCGATGTATTGTACTAGAGAAACCCATACATCAAAGACAATAATTGATCATGTCAGTACAGATTTACTAAATGACAACTTTCACTTATCAATATTGGATTTACCTATGGCTGACCACAAACAGATTTATTTGCAATTAAAAAAAATTAAACCAACTCCGAAGCAGCGAATTCAATATGACGCTATAAATTATGAAAATTTATTCAAAAGTATAGCAGATGTCAACATTAAGAATCCAGGTTTTGAATACACAGTTCTTGATGACTTAATAAAGCAAAACGTTAAAAACAACAAAATAACAAAGACAAAAATTTTAAATGCTCCACGAAATGACTGGATTAATAAGGAAATAATTAATATTATAAATGATAGGAATGACCTGTGGAAGAAATACAAAAATAACAGAGACAATTCTCGTATAGAAAATGAATTCCATAAAATAAAAGAGTCTGTAACTAAATTTATTAAGAAAACTAAGGATTAGTTATTATTACAGCCAATTTCTAAAATGCACAAATCCCAAGAAAATGTGGAGTCTATTGAAAGAACTTGCCGCTAACAAAAAGAAAGATACCATTGCTCCCACAAAGCTGAATGTTAATTCATATATAATAACTGATCCCATTCTCATTTGCGAGTCTTTTAATAATTTCTTTTCTACTATTGGGTTAAATCTCACTAATCATCTACGTAATAAACAAAACAATTTCAATCTAACCGTACCAAATAACAACATACAAATTATTTTAAATATTCTTAGACCGTGTACAGCTCAGGAAATTTCCCAAATTATTAACAATCTTGACCCAAACTGTAGTTCAGGTATAGATGGCATCACAACCAAAATCATTAAATGTATTAAAAGTCAGATTCTTGATAACTTAACGTCCTGTCTTAACGAATTACTCAGGGACGGCAAGTTCCCTGATAACTTAAAGATCGCCAAGGTCAGTCCAATATACAAATCTGGGCCCAGAGATGATCCGGGTAACTACAGACCCATCTCGGTATTGCCGGTTATGTCCAAGATATTAGAAAGAGTTGTATACACGCGCTTATTAGACCACCTAAATAATATAAACTTTTTATACGAACACCAATATGGATTTAGATCAAAATCTAATACATTATCAGCTACAATTAATCTCATTACAAAAATTAAAACTAATACCGACCAAAGGAAAATTGTCCTTGTAGTATTCATTGATATAATGAAAGCTTTCGACACAGTTTGCCACTCGCTTCTCGTAGAAAAGCTGGAAACGATTGGAATAACTGGCAATGCCTTAAAAATGTTCAAATCATATTTAAACAATAGATCCCAAGTAGTTAAAATTAATGATTGTCAAAGTAAACTCTTACCTATCTCTTGTGGAGTACCACAGGGATCAATATTGGGCCCATTATTGTTTTTAATTTATTTAAATGACATACAACACCTTAACTTGCATGGACAGATAACCTTGTATGCGGATGATACCTGTCTCCTATACACTGGTTCATCTGTGCATGATATAATTTCTCGAGTGCAAAAGGACCTTGACTATCTTTACTTGTGGTTTCAATCGAAATTGCTAACTATCAACACTGCTAAAACATCGTACTTAATTTTTAAACCTAAAAATGTTAAAATCCCACCACATTCGCCTATAACAATAAATAATGTACCACTAATTGAAAAGAAAAGTGAAAAATATCTTGGATTATATATTGACAATAACTTAACATGGACAACGCACATAAATCATTTAATAACTAAATTATCTTCTTTAAGAGGTTCCCTTAGACACATAGTTCGAAGCCTTCCTCGTGAAGTTCGTCTTCATATTTATAATTCTTTGGCAAAATCACACCTTCTTTACCTTATTGAAATTTGGGGAGCCGCGACTAAAACTAATATTTCTCACCTTCAAATTGCTCAAAATAAAGTAATTAAATTGCTTTTTCATTACCCTTACTTAACTTCTACACAAAAAATTTACAGTGAAACAAAACTCATGAATATTAAACAATTATTCCAATATAACACCAGCTTACTAATATACAAAATTCTAAACGACCACATACATACTAACATTACCTTTACTAAAATAAGCCAAATTCAGAAGCGCACTTCACGACGCCCTCACAATCTTGTTATACCGAAGTTTAGAACTAATAACGGTAGAAAAACATTGAGCGTTGGGGGAGTGTTGCGTTACAATAGACTACCACAAAATATAAAAAGTGCAGGCAGCCTGGCGATATTTAAACTTAAACTAAAAGACCATCTTCTGAGTGATCCTAATTACCTACGCAAATGACAGTCCACCCAAATTATACTTCGATGATTGATCCTTGACGCTTAAACACGACGTGATAAATTGTATTTTTAGTCTATAAGTCTCATGTAAGTGACCATTGTCTGTAATGAGAAAATAAATGTCTTTAAACCTAATATTTTTGATTAAAAATACTTCAACTGAAACTTGTATTTTGTGAATAATTTGATTAAAAGATAGATTTTACAAAATTATACGAATCTTGTTTCATTTTCATTTAACAATAATCGTACTTAGCAACTCCATTTAAAAATTGGCGACCTACTTACCCTTCCTATAACATATGATTATTTCCAATCGTTGCCGCAAAAGCAAATATCTCCTAAGAGATGACAGATATGGCTATATCGAATACTTGACATTATACGATAATTTTATATTTATTTCATAGGGCACTATAATAATAAATTTGATCGTTCCATTAGTTTTTATAACCATCGTAATCCCAACCATAAACTTTACGCATTCTTTATTTGGCTGTACAATATGGCTTTTTTGTAATTTTATTTTTTAAATATATTATTTTAATATATCCATATGGTGATTTAAATTTCTTTACTATGATACATCTACTATGACGGCAATGAACACTAGCTGATGTATTAAAGTCACGTGAGGAAATCGGCTTTTCATACATCTAAAATTTACAACAGGTATCAAACACGGAAAGCGAATCACCTACATACCTGATACCAAAGCTAATAATCAAAGAAAATTGCAGTTCACGGGCTAATTAGCATTTTAACTGATAGCGTTGAACATTTAATAATTAGTTCACAAAAACCAATTCAATCTCTTGAATATAATTAGCAATTTAATTATTATTTAATGTTTGATTCACCTTTTCATCATTTCGAATTAATCCACGAAATATTTATTGACTAATGAAATTGTAACTCTTAATAAACTAATATGTTTGCCTTTAATTATTATAATTTACTTAAATCTTAAAATTAACTTATACTAAGTGAAGAACGATTATAAAAGAAAGTTTAAGGTTATATAGAACAGGTGGTTCATTGTACAATCTCGAATTCCTTCAATTTATTGATAAAAACCCTTATATTCCCAAGTTTTTGTAACATACCCTTACGTCCCAAAAACTAACAATATACGTCCCGAAACTTAGAAAATACGTGAAAGTTCTCATCCCATTCCATTACCTTATCGGATCATAACTCATACTTTTGAACATTGATTCAAATAGTATTATGGGGAAAGAGGCTCGATTTTTTGTGTTCATACTTTGTGTGTGAAAAGATGATGCTCTGTGAATATTGGTTTAGACGCGTTTTGAATAATAATGTCCAATATGATTTGATTTCTCCGTAAATCCTTATTTATAGAATGAACTACCTAAAGTGGATTTTTGTTCGGTTTTTACCGATGTATGCCTTCTTGTGCGAACTTTAGGTGTTAAATTCAGAAAACTACGCGGTCTAATTACGGTCGGAAGCTATTGAGATCTATATTTTAAATCTACAAACTGACTTGTTTGAAAGAAACGCATAAAATCGGTCGTTTCATTCGCATATAATAAAAAAAAATTTGTTTAATGACAAGCGAACATTGACTACTGATAAGGAAACATGATGATACACCAAATGTTTATATTTATGTTAAAGTTAGAATGGTATGAGATAATGTACTGTAAAAGCTTAAGGCTTAAAAGGCAAGACATTTTTGTATTTTGCATTGACGTCAAGGCAGAATACAAAATACCATCCGTAACAACTCGACGTCCGTCGTTCCACGATTGAGGATTTTTCAAAGCAGTTTTTGCCGCGCACCACCACTATGTGGAACCACCTGCTCACTGAAGTATTTCTGAACCAATTCGACTCCTAAGTCGAATTGGTTCAGAAATACCCTAGTCCTTCAAGAAGAGAAAAGGCCGGCATCGCACTTGCGAGCGTTGTTGCGAACTGTACTTGGCTTTATCTATAACCTTTGCCTTTTGTTTTTCGGCTAGACGTAACAACATGTCGACTTCAAAACTAGTGGCAGACTCGCAATGAAAATACAGAAATGCAGTCTGAATTTATTACATTTTTATGTGTCAATTTAAGGAAGTTTTGTTAACTTAACATTAACTTAACATTGTTAAATAAACGCCAAAACGTGCCGCTTGGGTTAAGCATTTCACAGTAAATCTAATTATTCGCAGGTGGCTAATCAAGTTCCCGGGTTTCGAGATGGAACCGCGAGACAGGTCGTGTCTCCCGAATTCCTTCCCAAAGGACATTCCCGGCACTTGTCACTTTCTACACAAGTACACGCACCCGGGGACAGATCCAGACGCGAGCCAGGTGAGCCTACATCATAAGTTAAGTCTGAAAATATGTTTTGTGTGATTGAGTCATGTTTTCAGAGTCAGTATTACTCCATGTCTGGTGTTTTTGTTAGGAATATTTCTAACGCTTTGAATTTCGGTGTATAGTATACGTACGTTGTTCTCAATAAATTACGAATTAACAAATCTATATATATAAAAGAAAAATGGTCTTCGTTTGAGGCTCCTTCACGCCTAAACCACTGATCGTATTCCATCATCCTAGATGGTTTATGGCTCTTTATTTATTAAATTCCAACGTTCCTTCATTTTTTTATTGCTGTTTTACTTTTATGAAAATTTATCCATACGGACTTCACCGCGGAAACATTCGGGGAGGCTTCCTAGAACCTCTAAACGTTCTCTGTTAAAAACTCGATTTTCGAAATATTTCAATTTTCTTAGCGGGAAGTTAAAAAGAAGAATAATAAAATTTATTTTAATTCGTCCAGCAAAGCGGGCGCGAAACGGCTAGTATAATATAAAGATAACCCATATTTATTTCACTCGATTGTTAACATTTTCACAACACCACTGAGTAACGCGTTTATTACTGTATTCAATAGTATTTATTGTACGCTAAAGAATCCTAGTCCCTGCAAGAAATCCTAGAGCAGTATTGGCCTAGTGACTTTAGCGTGAGGTCATACCTGAGGTCGTAGGTTCAAACCCGGCTGTGCACCATTGGACTTTCTTTCTACGTGCGCATTTAACATTGGCTCGAACGGTGAAGGAAAACATCGTGAGGAAACCACTTGCCTTAGACCCAAAAAGTCGTTGGCGTGCGTCAGGCATGGGAGGCTGATGACCTACTTGCCTGTTAGATTAACAAATGATCATGTAACAGATACAGAAATCTGAGGCTCACTTGTGAAATACACCAGTTTAACGACAAATTATCTATTTTCTTTCGTGTTTGTATATGTTTTATTACATAAATTAAGTAACGTTCATGAATTTTAATGTGTATTTGGTTTTTTAAGGTAAAACATATTGAGGATGCCCTTAGAGACTTTGGTATAGGACAGACCAAGCCAGCAGACGTAGAGAGCGAAGATCCAACATAATCATTACATTTTAAAATTTAACATTACATTCCAACGATGCAAATAGCCACTTATGTTATAACGAACCACATACATGATTTTATTATTATAGTAGCGGATCCAATAGACGTTGTCCTGTACACACGTCTTACATACTAAACAAAATATATCTAATAATGTAAATCATTCACGGCTCCAAAACATTTCATCAAAATGCCGTTTAGGAGTTTAATTACGAACACATACACAGAAGATTTATATGTATACAAGCTGTTTATTTGCTGTAAACAACTTAGAAACCGACTGCAGCGCCATCTGCCGGGCTGATTTGTGAATCTAAACCATCCAGGGCGCTAACCAAAACGCATACAAAAAAATCATTCAAATCGGTCCAGCAGTGTAAGAGGAGTTCAGTGACATACACACGTATAGTGGAATAGAAAGAGTTAAAATTTTTGTAAAATCTGTTGAAGATGATATTTATTCAATAAATCTTATTATGATAATGGCGCACAGAATCAGTTTAACACTGTTGAATTTCGCACTATCAATAGTTGATGTCGCTATATATCATAGATTGGGGCCGTTCAAGTATTACGGAAGCACTATAGGGGGGTGGGTCTTTGATTTTCTTATTTGATAATTACGTCAACAGTAATTATTTACATTTTTACACATATTACCCACACATTGTCTATGCTTGAAAACGAAATGCATTTTCGAGGATTCTTACAAAAAATGTATACGTTTATGAACTATTATTTTTGAGGCTTTGCTTAATTTTGCTGACAAGAAGAGGGGGGGGGGGATAAATTGCAGTAAATCTGTCAGTAAATCACTATTTTTTAAAAGTAGGCTTTTGTGCGTCTCAACAATAAGAGCTCTTGTTAACGAACGTTTTTGTCAACGGGTAACGGGCCGACGCAAAACGGCTACCTTTGTACATGATACGCTAAATATAACGTGAACGCGTCCGTTGTTGTCGATATCAGTTCTATTAAATTTGAAGGAGAAGTGCACGTACGTTGATTATTATTTATCAGATAATGTCTCAAAATCTTCATTTAGTAGAGGTAGGTAGATATAAATATAAACGTGCGCACATCCGTCGTCGTCAACACACTTCTATGAAATGACATAGTTCACTGCATCGGACAGTCCGCCGTCGCGCCGAGGGGCAACGTGAGCGCATCCGTTGAGTCACGTTGCAACGGGTATGAGCCCGTCGCGTTAACAAACATTCACTCAACTTACTTGAACACTGCGCGTCGGCCCGTCGCCCGTTTTAAAAATCGGGCCGTTGTCCGTTGTCGTTAACAAGAGCTCTAATAATAATCTAATATAATTCTCCGGAAATCGAATTAGCCATTACAGCCAGCGCGTGACCAAGCATGGCTAAGACATTAGGGACTTACTTAGAGATTTCCTTCATTTTATAACTTCATTTTATAACTATCTTAAATTATTTGCGGGCATAGGCTTTGTATGAAATAGATTCATAATAATTGTAGAACTTATAACTTTTCTAGTGTAGTCTATCTGAATAAATGATTCAGGAACACTAAAGTTACAGTAGATTTCACGGATTGCTTGCAATATCAATAAAATATGCTTTAAATAGTCTTTGTGATAATCCATTTATTAATAAACTATAACATGTACATATATATGTCTATTCTATAAGCGTGACATCGTCAAAAACTGTGTCGAGTATTAGTTTAGAGCAAAAGTTTATGTGTGTGTGCAGTGTGTGTGTGAAATTTTTGATTTGAAGTGAACATTCTCTACAACTAACTTGACTCTGTTAAACTGATATCGACTTCCAATAGCGATAACAATTGTGATACCGACTTTAATGTTGTCTGCGCCAAGCCAACATCAGCGCTACCGATTCTCATAGAATTAATGGACATTGCATATAAAACATAGGATTGGTATGGCTATCGCTATTAAAAGTTACAGAGTAACAGCTGATTATGACTTCAACAACAAAACTAAATTTTGATGTGTTTTTTTTATTAAGAAATAACTAAATATATATAAGTCTGTGTAAACCTGGCATTGCTGTATAAATTTGTATGTACAGTGCCACATACTTTTCTTGGCTGGTAAGAGCGTCGCTGTCTCGATATTAGTATTGCCAGTAAATAAAAATTATAAGAGGAATAATTTGAAGTCATGCTTCACTTAATAGTTTATTGAAATGTCTTAATAAAACAATGTATACTAGTATCTAGAAAATACAGTTGTAAGCTTAAATAAATGTGACACATACAGGAACAACTGATATGATAGGTTTTGTTACCTGTTGTACTATTAATATAATATCTTTTAAGATAACTAGCAATCAGAACCGTTCGATAATTAAACCTTTGCCATTGTAATTAATAATGCGAGGAATACAAATAAATACATATTAGTTGGGTTTTTATTAGATGTTGGTAGATAGTAAAATTATTTATTGTACCAAAGAAATTTGTTTGACATTTCAAAATGGCGACGGTAGTACCCATTTCAACCGCCGGCCAAGAAAAGTATCTGGCACTGTAACGATCACTTGACAGCAGCTGTCATTATAGTTTGACGTTTTAAAACGCCGTGTCTACTCTCGACACTCTGTATTCTTAAACTCATTTTGGTTCACCTCGTTTGTAGTCGATAATTGTTGAAACTTGGTGTGCTTAGAACGTTGAACTCTTAAACTTTAGTAGTTAATTAGTGATCTATATAAAGCTTTATATATTACATAAGGTGTACATACAAAAATCCGGGATAATTACGACTTATATAGTTAAAGAGGTTACATAATTTGTATATATAGTTTATGTATCGGAATTAGATAAAGAGTCATTCTAAAATCAATATTTTATTACGTAAATGTATAAATTTTCAAAAGATATATGAAGGAATTCATCATATATATATTAAGTCCTGCAATGCGCTTCGCATTCAAAATTATAGCTTTTAATCACATTTTGGATCTATATGCGACACGAACATTGTAATAACCTATTTCTAACATTCAATACTTAAAAACTTAGAAATTAATTTTATGGGACTAGCTATATACTTATATAAATTATATATTATTTTTTACATTTAACAGGTATTGGTCCCATAAGCTCTAGTCTAAGACGTACATAATTATTTGTCTTTTACATTGATAGTTTGTGGTTCCCAAAACAGTATTGGGAATCGAACTCAGGCTGGGCTATGTGCGACGTGGGTACGCAGTCTTAAATATAAATTAGTATAGTAAAAATTAAAATACTCTTTAATTTGTAATATCAAGCGTAATTGGTAACCATAGATATATATAAACCATTCACCTAATTATAACGAATTCTTAGTATAGCCCGAAGGCTTTCATTGTACATGTTCTAACATAAATTGTTAAGAAAAAGCGTATGTTCTAAATAGGTAATGTTCTATGATATTAACGATTATTATAAGAAAAGCTACGGATATATTTTATGCTGTGATATCACATTTATTTATCGTAAAAATATCAATGGGAATATAAAACAAAAGATGGCGATGACGTTTCGTTTAATTGTGATTGGTCAACAACATCTCTAAACCATTTTGCACGTCAACGTCCGTCGTTCCACAACTGAGCGTTATTTAAGGCAGGTTTGCCGAGTATTTGCCACCATTTTGGAACCAGCTACCCCTATCCTGAAGGAAAGGAGGAAATACTTCATTTCCTCCTGTCCTTCAAGAGCGTTCTAATTCTTTAACGGCCGGCAACGAGTCCTCTGGCATTGAGAGTGCCCATGGACGGCTGATAACATCATATCACTATACATCAGGTGAGCCCCCAGCCCGCTTGCCTCCTGTTCTATATAAAAGCAATCATATACTACAAGATCCGTCGTTCCAATTTTCCTTATCACAAATAGTCGAAAAGCGCCATCTCCAATCATATTAACTATTCTTCTATTTTATTTTAATTTGTCCCATTCATTGCTGTTTCATTGTAAAAGTGTTCTATCCTCAAATTAATATATAGGACCAAAGTAAATTAGATAAAGCAATGTTCTACTATTGTGTTCTAAGCGTTCCCTTGATGTAAAGTCGTTGTAAGATCTCAGAGTAAACAGGCCATTAACAAGGGGATAACAAGACCAATATCAGAGCAACGATTCAACTTTTCTTTTTGTGTATATTTTTCACAAATAAAAGATAATGATAATTCAAAATTATATGTAGTAAAATGTTTCGTCATATATAATAATTCAGATAAATTCACAGTTATTAATATGTGTAAAAATTATTGGATGTAGAATTATGTAGAAATTATTAAATGTTGAAACAATGGAAATTGTGCAATAAGTGCTTCACTGTACCTTATGTAAATACGGCTATGTAACTAAGGTTAATATATAAAGCACTAGGTGTAGCAATAATGCTTATTGATTCACACATTTATGTATTTATTCTATAAACACACACTGTAAATAACTTTGATAGCATCGGAGTTTGGTAAGATTTTAATTGAGAAAGTTTCGTACAATTTAGTTGTTAAATCTATAAAACTGCGGGTCTCTTACCAATATTATTACTGAGAAATATTCTTTATTTACTTTTAATAAGCAATGGTAGGTCCATTTCCTGTCCATACTCTTTTTCTCTCTTATCGATCTAATATTTTCCAGTGAGCTGTAGGAAGTGAATAAATATACTACATAAATATACAAGAAGTGAATATATTTAAACTACAAATCTAAAGCTTATCTAAAGGAGTTTAGAAATCCTACATCGAATTACTTTTTTTCCAAGCATTTGTACTATATAATAAAATTTGTATGAAATAATTCACTTAGAGAATTTAGATTATTCGAAAGTGTATAAAGCATTTAATTAGATTTAAGCACAGCCTTCTTCGATGTAATTTCCGTTTCCTATAGTCAACTGTGCGGTTAACCAACAGTTAAATATGGAATATTAGATACTATCACGCTATCTTTCTATGTACTAGGTCTTGCTATAAGAAACTAAAACTGTGAATGCACTATTAG